GTTTATTTTTTATTTTTTATATGAAGTGAATTGATTTATTTCCACTTTTAGTGATGTAATTTTCTTTTTGTCATTATGATATTATGTTTGTTGTTTTGATATTATCACTTTCATGATTTTATTTGAAATGGAGCTAATTACTATCCAAATAAATGAAATTTGATAGAAATAGCTTTTTAGTTTCAAATTTTTGATACATATAACAAGTATTATAAGGTTTATGGTAAATTATAGTTATTTTCACCAAATAATTCAAAAAGGTTATTTTTAATTCAACATTTTACTATGCATTATTTTTTTTACAAAATTTTTAGGGGTGTGAAATTTTTTTTTAAACATTTAGAATAAGTTGAATTTCATATAATTTAAAAAATATATACTATCATTTGGATTTAAGAAAAACTAAATCCAAATGTGAACTTTTATTATCTTTAATATATTGGAATATAAAATCGACAAAAAAGAGTTAACTGTGCATAATAAATTATTAGTCTTATATATATTGAGGTTGATAGGTTTAAAAATATATAAGAATACTAACAACGTATTTTATCATTAAAAAATAATTTTTTTCAAAATTATAAATATAACGTTTCTTAAAATAAAACAAATTGATGTTTTTCTAATAATTAATACTTTAATTTTAAATAGTAGAATATAGATAATAAAAATTTATCTAATTTTGTGATTGATCTATCTTTTTTATATGTGATAGTCGAATTTAATATCACATATCTTTTAATTATTACATGTCCAAATTGATTTACTTAATATCATTTGATTTTCAATGATATTAGAAATTTCAGCTTAAATTTGGTAAAAATTTATAATTATTAGCAAAATTCAATTATAAATTCAAATAAAAAAAAATTTACTACTCATATATTCAAATATTTGTATGTAGAATCACTTTTCATTCAAAATTTTCATTGATTCCATTTTTTATTATCTTTTATTTTAAGGTGTTTATAGATTAAATGAACATTATTATTAATTCAAAATTTTTCGGTGCAACTACTTTTAATCTATAATTATTATTAGTCAATTATTAATATTTAAAATTTTTATTTTATTTATTTAAAAATTATTATAAAATAAAATTATTATCCGTGCATCACACGAAACGTAAATTTTGATATTCATAAAACTTGTGAACATTTTTCTCTTTTTATCTTTATATTATGTTGGTGATTGAAATGACTGATTACTCTCCTTCTAGAATATTATACTATTATTTTATATCTATTAATAATTATATGACATTGCATTTAATTTTTAATTAAGTATTTTTTAAAATAAAAAAGAAAATACTACATGTCACAAATTTTTCCAAGCAAACTGTGTTTTTTTTTTACCCATTTTAACTAATAATTCTATCAAATATTTGATTGTAGTATAGTTCATTATGTTCAGACTGTTTTAAGAATGACGCATGGTATTTACTTCTCATACTTTTACAAAGGGAGGAGAAAGTTCCAAACCCTTGAAAATGAAAAATTAAATCCTAAATCAAGACAGCACAGCACCGACAGACATCGTGCCTAGCTAGATTTTAGGAGTTGACGCGTCCACCGAAGTCCACCTTAGGAATATACGGCTTCTCAAGCTGTGATTTTTTTTATTAAGCAAGTACGTTAAGTAGAAATGATTTATCATCTGTTAGAATAATACATGACAAAACTAAAGTCATCTACATCAATGCTTAATATAATATCCTGTTGGATTAATCAAATGGGTTAGTTGTTGTCTGATTCATCGACAATCATTGCTTTGTATACTAAAAAAATATCTGCCTGGTCATCCCAAGATACCCTTCAAAATTATTTTTGTCCAAATTTTAACCTTCCGTACGTATGGTCCCCAAGTGGAAACCACACTTGTATTTTTAGTATGTTTCTCACATTTCAATATTTCAGTTGTCAATTATTTTATTTATTAATTATTTGAAAAAAATTCGGACCTCACATTTTATATAAGAAAATACGTAACATTTATTATTAAATCAAATATTCAATGCATTAACTCGTAATTATTGTTTCTTCAAAAATAAAAAACTCTTAATTATTGTTTTATGCTAATAAAAAATATTATTTTACATATAAGCTCGTTTGTCAAGTTTTATCACATGTGATAAGTGTGGATCCAATGGTCAAAACTTCCAACTTTTTATCTTTATATATATATATATGTGGTTTATTTAACGTTTAATATCCAAATAAATTATTGAATTTTACTTAAAAATGTAAATAAGCTCTCAGATATTTTATTTTATTATAATCGTACTCATTAAATTGTATAATTGGATGAATAATGCCCAATTGATAAATTTTGAAAATAGTATTTAATTCATTTAAATAAATCTAAATAAGTATTTTTTTTTATAAATTAAATCTTTTAATTAAATAATTTTAATAAAAAATTAAATATTTTATATCATCAAAATTTTTATTCAAATAAAATAAAATTATATAAACTTACTTTTAGAAAATAAAAAGATTGATAAACGGTTTATTTATAGTTTAAAATAAGTTTTGAAGTTTATTTAAGTATTACACCTTTATTTAATTGTTTCATTTGCTTCCAAAATAAGAAGAAAGATTAATAGATTAATTATTAATTTATTGATAATATACAAAGTGCAAAAAAATCTTTCTTTAAAGCTTATTGATTCTCAATTATTTTCCTTTTGTCTCTCATGGGCTGTCAGATATCAATGGTTTACTTTGCATTTACAAAGGGTTTGTTTGCTGGAGTAGTTTAAGTGAAATACTTTTTGAATGGTCAATGATTTTTCACTAACAAACACGAATTTTATTATTATTATCGCTATATAGTTTGAGATTTAAGATTTACATTCCCTTCCATATCTTAGAGTTCATTTTTTTTAAGAAACAAAATCTATATTTTATGAATTGATTAATGCTCTTTTATGATAAAATTTGTTTTTTTTTTTTTTTTAATGAAGCGCTATGGTATTCCAAAGAGGACAAAACCTGCCTAATGCCAAAAACTCGGATAGATCATTGATCCAACCACCTAGACCTTATCCAAGTCGGCCAAACATTTGGCTATTACAATTCCTTGAAACCCAAAACGACAAATGGCTCGTTTGGATTTTATTATAGCGCAAAATACTAAGTTTTTTTTTTTTTTTTTTTTTTTTTTTTTTTTTTTTTTGTCTCTAGCTGTATTGAAAATACATTTGGGTCGTAGTTGGAGACAAAAAATTTCATTGCCCTTTCAATCTTTAATTGGAGGGAAATTTTATCATCTTAAATTATTTAATGAATGTAAAGTAGTTGATTCATTTAATGTCAAATTAAAAATTTAAGATATTCTTTAATTACGATAATATATTGTATTTAGTCAAGCTAACATATTATTATTATTATATTTTGTATTTAAATATATATTGACATTAATATTAATTTCATAATTATATTATTTAATTATATTATTATAATAATTATTTTATTTTAATTTTTCAAAGTTAATATTATACATTCAAATTAGATCTGATAATTTATATACTCATGTAGTATAAAATATTAAAATTTATATTTTTATATTATATTTTATATAAAAATTATATATTATAATTCGTATCGTTGTAAAAATATAAAATATTTTTTAGTTTTCTTAAATTAATATATAATTATTGTTAAAATTTTAAGTTATATTATTTTTATGTTTTATTTTCGTTTTATATTTATATCATATTATCATATCATATTTTAAATTATCAAATTTAATCCAATCAAATTAGTAAATATAATTACCATTTGTCACAAGTAATTTTAGACTTGATAATTTAAAACATAATATAGTAATATGATATAAAAATTATATAATAAAAATATAGAGATAACATAGTTTAAAATTAAAAAAAAAAACCATAAATAAATTTATTTATTAAATTAAAATAAAAAGATATGTAAATTTCATATTAAACTTTATATAATTTTAATAATTATAATACAATAATAATAGTTTGTATCCTCCCCTTGCTCTCCTCTAAACCTTTTTTGTCTGTACGACGGGGCCCTCTCCAATGAAAATGCGTCACAGCCACTATTCTCACCGTCGGATGACGCTTCGCTGCGGGAGTTGATCCTCCTTTCAATCTCAACCGTACGTTTTTACTAATGTTTCTGGTCAAAAGACCGTACATGTTCGACACGTACGTTTAAAAACAAGCCGATAACAGTTAAAATGAAAAAAAGGAAACAGTCAAAATGGGTCCCACACGGCACGCATTTATAAACGTCAATTAAATTGAAAAAAAATAAAACAGGTAAAAGGTGGAAATCTCATGAATAATAATTTTCAAAATGTAAAATCTAAAGGGTACGTTCATTTTGGGGATTTTGATCAATATTACGGTTTCTGCCATTTTTTTTCTCCATTTATTTCGTTTAAAAATGATAGGAAATTTTTATTATTCAATTACGAGTAAAAAATTTATCTAATAAAAAAAACATTTATAACTGAGTATATATATATATATACTTTAGAGTTTATTTTTTATACATTAATAATAAAATTTTTAATTTTATAAACAAATTTAAAAGACTAATACATGTTTTAGTTTCTTAATACATCTTAAAAGAGTATGTTAATTTACTAATTTTACTTTAATTACAACTTAATGTCTATAAATTAATATTATACACCTATTTGTCAAAAATAAAAAATCTATTTACTATTTATAAAATAATTATCCTTTATATAAAAGATATTGTTCTCACAAAATATTATTTTTATTTAAAATAAAGGGATTTAAATCTTATTGCCATTATTTGATAAGATAAGGCAGCCGTTTTTTTTACTAATTGTTATTTTAAAAAGAGATTTATATCTAAATCACAAGTAAAAACTTTTAAAAATTAAAAATCCCATCTCTCCAAAGGCGCCCAAATTTAATTCGATTTGAACATAAAAAATTAAAATAGCTTATTGAATGGCAGAACTGTTAATAAGTTGGAAACCATCCCTTTTTCTTAAAGCCATTTATTCTTCCATTTTTTTTTAGGTTTCTCTTAAACGTACATGACTTTCTTTTCTGTACAGTCACATTCACTCTAGGATTATCCCCACTTCCACTTTCTCTCTCCCCAAACACTGTTTTCTCAGCATTTTCCCATCTGCTATCCTTCCATTTCTGATTATTGAGAGATAGACAGTCAAAGGAATAGGGTTTGCCTTTGCATGGCGGATAGCACAAAGTACATGTCCATCAATGGAGGAACAACTATAACAGCAGAATTTAAGAATCTGCTTTCAATAATCAAAACAAGAAGAACAGTGGCTTTCTTCATGTTTGGCTTTGTTGGATTCACTGTTTTTTTAGCTTTTATCCCTTCTTCAAACTCTTCCTCTCCTTGGGCCACCAACATCTTTTCAGCAAGTTCCACCACTTCTGCTACTACATCTGCTGACACTTACAGATCTCAATTCTCTTCCGTCTTTAATTACTTCTTTTCCAACACTTCTTCTTCTTCTGCTTCACAACAACAACAACAGCAAGGCCCTCGATCAGCCAACCAAAGAGAGGAGCTAGTTTCTGAAAAAAACACCAACAAAACCCAATCTTTCAACAAAAATAAAGAACTTTCCAGTTCAAAAAATACAACTTTTCGGTCCCCCAACACAGGTATAAACAACAACCAAAGTTCGGTTTTGCATGCAAATCAGACGGCAGTTTCTCGTCCCAGTGTGGATAAAAATCGGCCTAGTACAAGCACCCAGGGCGAAAAGAAAGAGAATTCTGATAAAGCTCAAGTTTTGAAGGCTAATCAGACTGCAATTATAACTGATAAAGCTCCCGTGATAGCTAATCAGAGCACAAATTCGCCAGGTAAGTCTGATTCTTCCAACAAGGTAAGTTCTGGGAAGGAAGAGAAAAGTGTAGCCCCAAAAGGAGTGGCATCAAACCACACTGCTTCCCTGACGAAGAAACAGGGGAACGGGAAAAACAAGGGCAACGGGAGTGGTTCAGGGGTATCAGTTAAACAGAGGATTGAGAATTTGGTTGAGTCTTTGATAAATTGCGATTTGTTTGATGGAGGATGGGTGAAGGATAATTCGTATCCGCTTTATAAGCCGGGGTCTTGTTCGTTTATTGATCAGCAGTTTAGTTGTATTACCAATGGAAGGCCTGATAAAGATTATCAGAAATTGAAATGGAAGCCTAAAGGCTGCACCTTGCCAAGGTAGTACTTTTTTTTTTTTTTTAGGCTTTGTTCATTTTTTTAAACTGATTTATCAACCAAGTAATATTTTTAGCATATTCGATCAGCCAAATTTGAGTAGTTTTTTCTTTAATGGAAATTCAAACAAATTTAGCAATTTTTATGTTTTATCTAATTGTGTCCTGTTAAAAATTGTCGGTCTAGATTTTTCTTTAGTGCAATGGATTTAGTTTTCTTTTTTTCTTTAAGCTAAGATTAATTGATTTTTTGACTAAGGCTCGTTTGACAGAGTCGTGGGATTGACCGTTATAAGATTAAAAATAATAATAAAATTTATTGTAATTGTGATTGAAAAAAATTTTAATAAAAAGTTTGAATTGATTTAATTTTATTAAAATTAATATTTAAATTTAATTGTAGCTTAAATCCAAACGGCTTACTAAAAAAGATTGAAAGATTCTTCTTCGGTGCAATCGATGTAGTTTTCTTTTTTATTAAGCTAAGATTTTTTTGGCCAATAAAGCTCAGACTAATTGACATTATCTCATTTTTTTTTTCCTAAAAGATTGAATGGTGGTCACATGTTGGAGTTGTTGAGGGGAAAGCGGCTTGTTTTTGTGGGCGACTCCTTAAACAGGAATATGTGGGAATCTCTAGTTTGCATCCTGAGAGGTGCTGCAAAAAATCCAAAAAATGTATATGAAGCCCATGGAAGACACTATTTTCGAGGGGAAGCTTCCTACTCTTTCATATTCAAAGTAGGTTATTGACATAAAATTGTTCATCTTTGTTAAATATTGTCATATATTTACTTCAAATTTGATGAGGCTTATTTGCTTATCCTTTTGGGGTTGGCTTGGATGATGATGGATAGGATTATAACTGCACTTTAGAGTTCTTCGTATCTCCGTTCTTGGTCCGAGAATGGAAAATGCCGGACAAAAATGGAGCGAAGAAGGAGACACTTCGGCTTGATCTTGTTGGAAAATCATCTGATCTATATAAATCAGCAGATATCCTCATCTTCAACACGGGGCATTGGTGGACTCATGAGAAAACTTCCAAAGGGTTGGTTGATTATATATATTTCCATTGAACTTATTATTATTATTTTTTAAAATTTTGTCCCTGTTATTCTGTGATCGATTGAGATATATTATTGATTGTTTCTATGTTCAACTATGGAAAACTACAGGATGGATTATTACCAAGAAGGTAGTCATGTTTACTATGAACTGCATGTTCTTGAGGCCTTTCGAAAAGCCTTGACGACATGGGCTAGATGGGTTGATGCCAATGTAAATCCTATGAAATCTATGGTGTTCTTCAGGGGTTATTCTGCTACCCATTTCAGGTGAAGAGAAATTTTGTTTTGAACGCACAATACTATTTCTTCCTTCATAATTGTTTCGGGATTGTGTGCTTATTGATGCTTGAATCTTTCTCCAGTGGTGGGCAGTGGAATTCAGGCGGAGCATGTGATAGCCAAACTGAGCCGATCAGGAATGAGACATATCTGACGCCATATCCACCAAAGATGTTGGTGTTAGAATCAGTGCTTAAGGGGATGAAAACGCATGTCACCTACCTAAATATTACCAGATTGACTGATTTCCGAAAGGATGGTCACCCATCAATCTACCGGAAGCACCAGAAGCAACATATGTCGGAGGAGGAAAGAAGAGAACCTTTAAAATACCAGGACTGCAGCCATTGGTGCCTTCCTGGTGTGCCCGATTCGTGGAACGAGCTTTTGTATGCTGAGCTCCTTGTAAAAGAAACCAAGATGCGGCAACATCGAAAGAGAGCTAGGTAAAATAAATCAATCCAAACATAGATTTGTTGGGGTCGAATCACATATAGGCAGTACAGATTTTACTTACAATTTGAAATTGTAGAAACAAAACAAAGAAAAAAAGATAAGATAAATTAGTGTTTCTACTTGTACAAATTATGGAGTAAGATCATAGAAAAGTTAAGCTGAGAATTCTTGGAGAGATCACTCTATACATGTGCTGTAATATTTTTTTCTGTCTGTGTATTTTTGTCCATATTTGCATATTTATGTAGCAACATATTTTGTAATATATATATATATATGTATATATGATTGTTAAGAAAATGTTTTAAGAGATAATATATCATTACATTTGAAAATTTTAAATTTAAAAATATATCTAGATTATTATGAAATTTATTTTAAAAACTATATATTTAAATTAAATTTAGTTACCAACAATTTAAAAATTATTTAAATAGAGATATAAAAATAAACAAATTTATTGCATAATTTTTTAAGTAAAAAAAAAAAAGATAATGTATTATCACATTTGAAAATCTTAAAATTTAAAAATCTATTTCTAGATTATTAAAAAATTCATTTAATTTAAAAAATATATATATCTAAATTAAATTTTATTGTCAACATTTAAAAGTTTTTCAACGTAAATATTCACGTAAGTAAATTTTTTGAGTAATTTTTTATGTGTCAAATAATAAAACTATTAACATAAAATGTTTATATAAGTAACACTTAATTGATACTTTTATATTTTGTAATATAATATTATATATAATTTATATTTATCATGAAATATAATTTTTTTATATAAAAGAAATTGAAATATGAAATCGGCTCTTTTTTTTTTTATTGTGAAACAAAAGTATTAAAGTTCAAATTCAAAATATAGCATTTGTATTTTGTATGGATAAGTGAATGTATCTTTTTATTTAATTTAAAGAGTTAAATTCATATCTTTCTGCTTAATTCTTAAAGAATTAGATTCATATTTTTCCTTAGATAAAAAAATTCAAATTTTAAAATTTTTTTTTTATTATTTCATTTTTTTTATCTTGATAAAATGTGAGCATTCAAATTTGAAATTTAAATTTAAAATTTCTGTCATTTAAGCTGATCTTAATATCTTAATTTCGTTTAAAGCTGCATATCTTTCCCTTTTATCACATACGACTATTTTTTTTATAAAAAAAAAAAAAAAAACTATTGAAAGCAATATTTGGATCGATTAAAAATAAGTAAATATTGTTAGTTTGGGAATATTTCACTCACAATCATCATAATATAATTAACTAATAATAATTTAGAATTATATATGATCCATAAAAAATTTATGTAGAACTTACACTTGTAAATGATATATTTTTACATAATTTTTTTATCACCATTAGATAATTATAATAAAAAATTATAAATAATATGCTCATGTTAGATTTGGTTACAACAATTGTATTTTAGAAAATTTCATAGAATATCTCAATCATAAAAGAAAAATTTAAATTCAATTGGTATGATATGTGGTAAAAGTACCACATAAATGTTAAAAAAGAAAATAAATAGAAAAATAAGTATCTATAAAAAAAAAGAACCTAAATTTCTATAGATAGTTACTTTCCATTTATATGAAACAATTATATTATTATGTAATCAAATGTGAGTTTGCTTTTTGCAAATTTACATTTGCTTTATAGCAATTTTTGAAAAAAGACAATTCGGAAATAATTAAAAAAGAAAAATGCATCCAATCATTGAGGTGAAAATCGAAAGGCTTCTTTCGACATTTTGGGTTTGGTAGAAAAAAAATAGCCCACGATTTTGCAGACTCTCATCTTAAATGACTGGTTGGGCTTCTTCAATCCTCCCATTATAAGCTGAGGGACGCAGCCTCCTATCTTTTTATTATAGTGAGACTTTGGACTAAACCCCCACATTTCTATTGGATCCCAGCCTCTTCTCCATCATGCTGAGTTTGCCGAGCGATCTTGATATGCAACAGTCATTCTCCCCTTATTTCTTTTCATCTCCTTAAATCACTAACCAAGCCCAAGAGTGACCCAATCTTATAAGCCGAAAACTTATGTAAGAAAATAATCCACAGATTAAATCCAAAAAATAAAAAATAAAAACCCAATATCCATTCTCCAAAAAGCCCAAAAAAAAAAATCCATTCTCTTCGATAATTTATCCAATTTTCAAGTGTCAAAGTGATTAGTGAAGCCGAGTGTTCTCAACATATAGAACAATCTTTTGAGTCTACTGATTCAAGTCACAAGTAATAAGGAGCTCGATTTTTTTTTAATTAAGATTTTAATTTTGAATTTCGTAAATAAAAAAAATAAATTTGAGAGAGTTTGACTTTCTTAAGAATCCGACCCAGCTTGATTTCGGATTAACTGGATCCAAAGTGATTTTTGAGCATTGAAAATTCTCAAAACGAAAAGAAAGTTTGGACCCCATTTTCACTTCTGAAGTGTTGATCAATTATTTTCCCAACAAATATGCCATGTGGTTCCCCACTTGTTTCGTCGAGAGGTTACATTTTGGATGGCGCCAACAAGGGATCAGCTATGCTCAAATCTGATACCTTTTTACAATGTTCTAATTTAATACCTTTTTACTGTCGAGATATTCGAATTAATCGGATTAAATTGACTCTTGGTCGCTGATGCTGATTGAAAATTTTTAACCTAACAAATTAAAGTTTTAGTTGTTGCTCGTTAGTGCCAGATGGCCCAACTTAAGGATCCTTCAACTGGTCCACCAACACTTGCGATCATCCAACAGGGGGCATAAATGGCGAACATCTCAGTGATTTGAGCTTGGTGAGATCCCTGAAATGATCAGAGAGTCCAAACTTCTTTCCCTTCCTCTCCCACTTTCTCTTTAATCATACAATCAAACTGCGCGAATTTCTAATGTTAACAATCTAGATTCTAGATTCTCTAAGCACTTTATTCCTATGAACGGCCAAAATTTTCAATGCATTTAGTCCTATAATTTGGAATTTTATTCAAAATAAATTAATTACATGTTGTAGTTGACTATTTCTTTTTTTATAAAAGATATTGTAATTTTACAATAAAAAAAAATTGCATGAGTTGATATTCAAAATTTAAATTTATTAATTATTATTTTTTAAAAAAATTATATAAATTAATTGAATTAAATTCTGAATTAATTTTTTTTTGAAAAGAAATGTGTGTATGGTCTCTAAATATATGAAATACACTTACTATTATATTTTGAGCTACACGAGAGTATTTTTTGTTGGATAAAATGTTTATTTGTATGAAAATTAGTGCAAGTTACTAATTCATAACAACTTTGGTTTTGATTTGGAGCATAATCTTGTGAATTACTTGTATATAAATGCATAGTTTGAATTTAAAATCGACAGCTAGACATGCTAATTGGTTTCAATTAGTCAATTGTTTCTTCAAAATGGATCTTGGGTTGGCTTAATCAAACCCTAGATACTTACCGGCCAGTTACAACGCATAAATTAAGGCATTTGAGATCATTACTGTTTAAATTTTTTATGATCTAATTGATAGTTACATGCCGCCATCGTCCCTCGCAAATATTAATTCATATGCCTAACTTCTACAAGGTAGCAGCCTGTTCTGGCAGATTTGTTGTTTCTGGCCTTGTCATAATCAGGGTTGAAGCACAAAACATTTTGCCTTTTTTTTAAATTTTTATGCAGACTTGTCTAGATATCATCTGCCATCAAGTTTGAACAGATCTCTATTCTCTACCTTCTAGAGAATTATAGCTGTGGGATTTCAACCATGGCCCTTTGGTATGAAAAAAGTTTTATTTCACAACCAATGAGTACAATTGTTTTTTGAGATTAAAGTAAGGCAAATTCAAACTTGACTAATTTAAAGTTTAGTTTTATTATTTTATGTAATAATTTTTAAGATGCGATATTAAATTAAATAAATTTAAAATTCAAAATTTAACATTTATTATCTTTTTATTTAAAAAAAAAACTCCAACTCTTCTGTTCATCATTAAAAAAAAAAACATGCAATATAATTTGTATCATAAAACAAGTGCAAAAACATTACGGTAAATAACTTATTTACTTTTTTTTTTCATTTTAATTTTCAAATTCCAAATCTCACGTTATTATACATATAATTTACTAATTACTACATATAGGTTTTCAAGAACTTTCTTTCAAAACAATATGCATTTGGTCTTTGTGTCTGCATTCTTCTGAATAAATAAAAGAATATTCATGGCAAACACGTGAAATAACAACTGAAAAAAAAAAAAAAAGAAATAAAAGTCTTCCAGAAGGAGGGCTGCTTTTATGCTATTAATGGTTAGGAAAAATGATTTTGGGTCATTTTTTTTTTCCCATTCTATAGCTATCACAAGGCTAACACTAAAATAGTTTTACTTTTATTTTAGCAAGATAATAAAAACTTGCTTAAGGATTTTCCTTTTAAATTATTTTCATGAAAAAGGCCAATAAAATAGAATTTGAACATGAAAAAATCTCTTTTTAAAACTCATGTACTAGTACATAGTATCATAAAGTTTGCTAATAATAAGTCGGTCCCACCAATTTGGTCCTTCTTTTAAAATTATTAAATGAATTTGACTAACCTTATAGAAGTATTAATTATAAAAAAAAAAACTTAATAAATTTTTTTTTCTTTTCACTATTTCCTCTTAATTATAAACGAAACCCTAAATCCAAAAATCGATTAAAGTACTATCGATTGCACTTGAGATTTTTAAAAAAAGTGTTTTTAACTCACTCGTTAAGAAAACTCATTAAACTGCTATTCAATTGCATCGAAGCATCTGATTCAATGAGATAAGTGCCTGTATAACTTTTGCATAAATACTACAGAGTTTGGTCCCATTCTCAATGAAATGAAATAAAAAATGAAATTACTATGCACACTCTCTTTGTCCATTATCTCTATAATTGCACTGTAGTCAATTGTATTCGTTCTATATTAATTACTATCACTTAAGTGGGCAATTAATATTTGCAATAAAGGGTAATTAATATTTTTGGTCCATGAGAACACTGATTGTTTTTTCTAGTAAGAGTTCAGGGAGCAGTAATTCAAATAATGCCAATGGAGATTGATGAGTTGTTAAAGTTTAAATAATTGATTGTAATATTTAGATTCAAATTGCTTTATTAACAGTCTTATTTGCTGAGTGATATCTAATTTAATGAATTTATTTTTTTAAGTTTGTGGTATGTCTTAATCTTGTATCGAAACTTCTATTGATCTTAAATATTTCTTTTTAGTTTCAAAAAAATTCTAACAATTTAATTGGTTATTTTATTTATTCTCTTTCTATATATATATATATATGTTGTTTCTTCTACTGATTAAACTAACTTAACAAAAAAGAAAACTATATGAAATTGACTAATAGTCCAAGCATAAATCAAAAGTTACAGTCTTTCAAAAATATTTTCAATAATTTTTTAATTCGAATTTTATTAGTGATCACTTGTTAAAATCATTTCGAATGTACGACTTACAATTATTTATCTTAAATTATTAAATTTGATACATCTTATCATAATTTGAAAAACTGAACAATTTATTTATCTTAAATTTTTTTTTTTACAAAAAATAAATATTTCCAATAATAAAAAATAATATGATATTTCAATTTGAAGTTCTCGAATATAAATGCATCGGAAAATGTCAGAAATAAATGAATGGTGATAATTATAGTACTAATAAATAAATAAATAAATAAATAAAGGATTGTAATTCAATTTCAATACACAAACCATTTTGATTACATTAGGGCAGTAACTATATATATTAATTAATTTCTTTCATTCTCGTCAAACAAAACAGCCAGCTTTCTAACAAAATTTCTTGCACTTCTCCACCCCAGTCAAAACAAAATCTATCAAAAACTCAAATCTCTGTTTTTCCCCTTCCCATCAACAAGAAATCTGCTGCAGACAAATTAAAAAATTCAGGAAATTAAAAAATATTCCTCCAAGCCAAAAATATTTACAGGAATTGAAAAAAAAAAAAAAAAAGAGAGATGGTCACATCTTTTGACTGGTCACATCCAATGATTTCATGAAGCAGCCTGGTGGGCTTGGGGCTGGGGCTGGCTTTGGGTCACATGTGTTTGCAGAGCAGAAAAAGGGTAGCCTTTAGTCTTGGTCAGTGGTAAGATTCCAGTTTTGGTATCGGTGTTGCTGCCAGCGGCGGCCGACGTGTTGGGTGTGGCAGCAGCGGTGGTGGAAGTGGTGGCGACACGCTCACATGAAGGACACATAGTGAGAGTAGTGGCAGGTAGCTGCATGTAAAATGGTTGAGAAGTTTTCAAGGCTCTTAATTCTTGCAGTTCTTTTTGTAACCTTCTATTTTCTTCCGTCAGTGTCTCGCAGCATCTCTTTAAATACTCACAATCTACCTCCGTCTGCTTCAATTTTGTCCTGTTTTGTACAATTTTATTCAATCAAAATAAAAAAAAAAAAACCAAAAAATAAAATACAACCATGAACTAAAAAAAAAAAAAAAAGATATACCTTGCTCTTCTATTCTGAAACCAAACTTCAACTTGGCGAGGACGAAGGTTTAATTGCTTGGCCAAGGCAAGTTTTTGCTTCTGAACCAATATTTTAAAGGGAAAAAAAATCAAGAACAAAATGTTAAACCAGAACCCTAAAAAAAGGAGAGAAATAAAAAAAAAAATGATTTTGTTTTGACTTACAGGATTGAGAGTGTTGTGTTCTTTGAAACTTTCTTCAAGAAAAGCAGATTGATCTTTAGATAGCCTGAGTTTCTTCCGAGTTGAACCGTTCTCATCATCATCGCTGGCTCTTGAGCTAGCCCTTTCAGTTTCAACTTCCAGATCTCTCTTGCCTCTACTGCTTCCGTTTCTAATCCCAAAATCCATCTGAAAGGATGACACCGCGCTGTTGGGAGACGAGAGTGCCGCTCCTTCCTCAACTTCATCCGCCACCGCTACCACCGGTAACCGGTTCACATCTAACCCTCTTCCCGGTATTTCCGATGAACCCGTTTCTATCAGCAATGTAACAATGCAGAAGTTTATATTTGCCTCATGTCAGATAATAAAAAAATATAAAAATAATCAAAATCCAAAAATACCCAGATCTTAATATCCCATAAAATATCTTTTTTGCAGAGAAAACTAAAAGAAGAAAAAAAGAGGACAGTTTTTTTCTTTTTCTTCATTAGGAAAAAAGGAAATTTCTGCCTTGACTAGATCAAGCACGAAATTAATAAATATTAGAAATATTTTTTATTAGCAGGAAATGCAAACTTCAAATTTCTTTCTTCCATTTCTTAGAAAAAATAAAACAGAAAGATGAACATGAAAGAAAGCATGAAGCTTTGGAGTAAAGAGGCAAATAAAAAAAAAAAACTTACGATTATCGGTGAGCCAAGGAAAGCGAAGCTGAGAAGAAGGTTGGGTACGATGAACAGGAGAGAAAGGAAGAAGGTCAAGCTGAAGAGGTGGATCTGAAGAAACCCTTTTGTCATCACCATCTCTACTAGCTTCTCCTCTATTTTCAGCTTCAAAACCATCCCTTTTCTCTTGTGATCCGAGCCCCATGCAAAACCCTAGATTCTTGCTTGATAACTTTGGGGTTTTATCAAGAAAAGTAAATGGCTTCGAGGGATCACCCAAGCTCAAAGCTAACTCCATCAGACTTTTCTTGCAAAGAGATCCCCCAAAATCAAACCAACTGCAAAGACGGCTTTGAATAACTTGTTTGTTTGTTTTTTTTTTTTTTTGATTTGATGAAGAGAGATATACCCTGAAAAGAGAGTTAAAAAAAAAAAACCCTATCCAATCTTCTTTAATGTATACACACAACCCACCACCCCCTCCCTCTATGACACTCCTTTTTATTTGCTTTGCCTTGTGCGAGTAAAGATTGACCGACAAATCCAGTTGACAAACGCACGTGAATCAATATAAATATACACCGGTTCATGCACGAGAGAGAAGGTAATTAAAGAGCGAGAAAGACAATGAGAAAGAGGGATTTTTTTTTTCGTTATTCTAAGGTTAGAGCAAAATCTTCGGTTTTAGTATTAACAAATGGAATTTGAATAAATTTGACTTTTTAAAGAATGAAAAAGGGAACGGGAGGGGTGGGGGGACTGATGACTGATGAGAACATGAGGCTTACCGGGTACAAGGCAACGACAATGGCAGCACCACTTTTCACAGCACAATCCATTATTAAATACTTGATGGGAAGATTTTGTGAATTAATGCCACTATAACTTCACAATGTTAGTGAATTATTGTGTTCTCACCAAACAAGGGCCAGAAACCATCATAACCCTAGCATGAGATTATGATTTTTCATCCGATGGCAGGGATCATCAAACTTCTACACTTTGGACCCAACTATTTTTTAAAATTTTTTTGACTAAATCTTAGCTAATAGAATGTTTACAAGTACTAGTATTAAATATTTATTGCACTAATCATCATGATGATATGAGGAAATAATGATTAAAATGTGTTGTGCACCAAACACAATTATTTAGCGTTGCACTGTTTGTTATTTTGTTTGCTTACAAATGATAGCCAATTTAATCCATGATTTACAGTTACCGAGTAGTCAATTGACATTTCTTCCAATAGCGTAATTGAAATGAAGTGACCCACCCCCCGGGACTGGGGCTGGAAGCCTGGGAACGCTGACTAACCAACCAAAACAATGCACCTTTACCAGTTTCTTCCTAGGTGACATCAACCATAGGCTAAAATGATCCAAAACCCCTTCCTTTTGAGCTAAGCCTGATGTCTTAAAGTATGGACAGAGAAAAACATTGGGAAGAAAAGAAAAATAAAGTAATTTCCTATTTAGATTGGAAAATAGCATGGGATTTTGACCAAAAAACTTCTTTTGATTATGTTCAATCCAAGCAGACAAAGAGACCATCTTTTTCTATTCCAAAGAAAGTATGTATATTTGTATAATAATAAAAATTAAAGGGCAGTGTTCTTTTGTGTCTTTTAAGCAGAAAAAAAAAATAAATAAAGAACCCACAATTGGGTATCCAATGGAGTGTAAAATTGGGTTGAAATTTTGAAGAGGAATGGGGGTTTAGGGGAGGGATCGGTGGTCCCACGCGCGTGGGGTGGCTTTTGAACAAAGGAGGCAATTAAAATATACATATAGAGGATGTGACCAGGTCAGATATGTCATGCTTTTGGGATCATTGCAATAATTGAAGTCATGCAGGCTTTAATGATAAGTTGGAGAGAAAGATGAGTGAATTATTGATTGGGTGGGCACATAAAAGGTACCATGGGTTAAAGTGACCCATAGATAAAGCCTTAACCCCAACTACTCCTTTGTTACTAGCATATGCCTGCTTCCCACTAACATTCCCCTAATTTAATCACCTTTTTGACAATGGTAAGCTTTAGAGTTTTGGAGGTAGCACATGTTATTTAATTGATTTTAACAATCAAGTTTTCTTTTTTAATAAAAGAAATTTGGAACATAAATTTCGTTCAAATTCCATGTTAGGAACATTCATGTAAAATTGATAACACTAAACAAATCTACTGCACCATTCGCTTCAAGACATATAAATATAAGATTAAATGATTTCTTCAATCGAAGCAATTTATCTTTGACAGTAAGGATGTTTTAATTGAGTTAATTTATCATTGCTAATAAACAAATTATAACCATTGTGTATTATTCAATGCCAATGCACATTATATTTTTAAAATACTCTTAATTGTTATTTTTTTATATCATAATTGTTAAAATTTAAATTTTGGCTATTAAAATTAAAAATTTTACGTAACATATTACATGACCGTGTATATGTGTATAATCCATGATTAATTTCTACACTTGCCTTTGTATATGAATGGTTATTTAGTATATATTAAAATGTAATTGAACATAAAGGTAATAGATGGATTTCGACCTATTAATTATATGAAGAGATAAGTTTATTTTAAGTTTAATAATTAGTAAAAATTTTGGCATGTTAGTGCTGGTTTTGCATAAGCTATTGGAAACAATCAAAATGGGAAATAATTAATATTCAATCCCAAGATTACAATTAGCTCAATTTCGGTTCAAATCCAAGGTATTGCCGGGTAGGTTTACAATTATTTTCTTGTTCTTTTTTTTTTTTTTTTTTTAAAGTATTGACATTATTAAAATTGAATGTTGATCCGGGTAGTTTTGAACACTAGTCCACTCAATGAGGATTGTGAGATCAACCCGTTGGATATGTCCTAATATATAATTAGGCCCATTTTAGAGATGTTATGTTGATAAAGTATTGAATTTTTAATTTTGATGATAAAACTTTAATACAATTTCAAATATAAAAAATATTTTATTTTATTTTTATAGTCTTACATTTTTTTATCGATGATTTGTTGAATTATTAATTCTAAATATTTGGATTTTTTTTTTGTTGATTTAAAGTTTGACTATCAATATGCAATACAATAACTCATTTGGAAATTTATAGTAAAATAAAATTATTAAAATTTCAGAATTAAATAAATAAAAAGTAAGAAAATGAAACAAAGAAAAGAGAGAATTAGCACATAAAAAAGAGGAGAAATCGAAAATTTGGACAGCTCTTGTTCAATTTGGAAAGGTTATTCAAGAGTGATTGAGCAGACGGAGGGAGGGAGGGAGGGCGGCAGAAGAACGAAAAAAGAAGGTTTAAGGTGAAAAAAAGGAAGGAAAAACTATACGTACCTCACTTGAGATTATCAACACCTATCATACCCTCTAATTGCAGCATTAATAACCAAAAAAAAAAAAAATTCAACGTGGTTTATTGTCTGTCTACGATATTCTTATCGAAGATGGAAATGATAAATAAAAGGCAGTCCCATGCATGTTTAGCCATATCAAGTAAGCAATGCATTCTCAGTATGTTAAACCTTCATGGGAAATTAAGGTCTATTCAGCCTTTTCCCTGTTATTGATGTTAGTTAGGGGACAATGGTCAATGGAGACTGAAATAATCCCCACCAGCTCGTTTACATCACAGCATACGAACATTGAAATATAAACATAAAGAAATTATCTGATATATTATTAGTGAAATTTTTTAATTTTATAAATCAAATAAAAAATTGATAAATATCTTATTTTTTATTAAAATTTTTTATTTTTAAGTATACTTTAATAATTACTCTGCTAATTCTGCTTATAAAATATAAAAACTTTATTAATGATAATTTCTTATAAATGTAATATCATCCATTATTTCCCTATGCAAAATAATTAAGGTAAATGGGGGCCTTAGTTTTGGAAAATCAAAGAACCAATAATTTCACCCAAAAGATTGTGTACTATGTGGTAACCCATACTTTCTCTTTCCAACATAATTTCAAAGCTCTTCCGTAAGGGACCCCTTGCCCAGGAAGAGGCATCAACATAAATGATAAATCCAAGGGGGCTTCTTCTACTTTATTTAATGACCACTAATAATGTGGGCTATGTCTTCATCGATCTAAGAATGTAATTAAGCGTTGGAAAGTGCAGGGTTCCTGCTTCCAACTTGTCTTTATTTCTTCCACAAACTTGTAATAAAAATTCAAATAATTCTTATCTTTGTGCAGGAAATACATTCGACTTTTCAACTGGTAGAGCAGAGGATCTAAAAGGATTTTGACTTTGGAGTCTAGTGAGTGTCATTTTGTTATAAAGAGTGCTACTGGAGTTTTGAAAAGATGTTACTTGTTTGGAGTGTTTTTTTTCATTACATACTTTGATTTTTTTTTTTTTTTGGAAATTAACATCTTTTCTTATTTGTACTTCACCAATAAACTAAAAATAAATTTAAAAAAAGCTTGATTAGAGTTACAATTTTTTTTAATTATACTGAAAATTAAAATGCACAAACTCAGATTTCATCGATCAATTAAGTAGAAGTTTGGCTTAATTTGAATAATCTACCTGCGTATACAACCGGCATCGTTGATCAATCAAATATAAAAGGTTTAAAAAATATGAGAAAGGAAAGGATTTAATTTAACCCAAAGAAAGAAAAAAAAAAAAGAAGAGTTCATATAATTCTATTTTCATGGCCCTCCAAAATTTTTTTTGTGGGAAACATTTAAAACAATCAAGGCAGAAGAAGAAAGAATGAAATGTGAAAGTTGCAGAGAGGCGTGAATTGTAAAGACTGTAACAAAACCCAATCGCAGTTTTGTTTGGCTGTCCTGAGCCTCGAGCCTGACCCCCCTCCCCCCAATTTTCGTTTTTCTTTTTGACGTGTAGTAGTAGGAATTATAAAAGGCAATCCTTTTCTGCAATAAATGGAATTTTAAATACTGTACATTTCGTACAGTACGTACCACAGGGATGTAACAGGACGTAGGTTTTGTCATGAACGAAAAATAATGAAAAAAAAAAAGTCACGTGAAATAGGCGTGAGGGAGAAAATGACGATGGGGTTACGGTCGTCAGGGTTTCAGAAATAACGTGGGAGAAAGAAGAAAAATCAGAAACCTACTAGATGAAGAAGAAAATGGGGGATGGGGGGGGGGGGGGTCGAAGATTGTATGATGGGGACATGATGCAGTGACTTAAGGAGACAGTGGCTACAGCAGCAATCATTTGTATTAGTAATACTAGCAGCAGAGGGATTTTTTTTTTCTCTTCTCTTCTCTTCTCTACAAGCATACATGTATGGATTGGTCCCCTTTCTTTCTCTGTATTACGAGAGAGAAAGCCCCAAAAAAACATCAAATAATTGTGAGGTGATTGAAAATTGAAATGAAGTGTCCTGTCTCTTTCTTTCCTTCCTTCCCCTACCAGGGTTTTGTCCTTTTGTTTTTCTTCTTCTTCCTTTTCTACTGTTTGTCCTCAATGTCAGTATCCTTTCAACCTTTTGTTTTTTTTAAAGATTAATGTCACAAATAATTCATATATTATAATAAAATATTTAATATATATTTAATTTTTAAAAATTATAATATATTATTTAAATTATTAATTAATATTATATTTAAAGTTAAAAAATTATTTGTCTGTTATTATTTGAAATTAATAATATTAATAATAAATATTATATTAATTAACAAATTTATAATTTAAATATTATATTAAAAATTTTTAAAATTCAATTAATATATTAAATA